TAGGGCCCTCTCCTGGTGTGCGTTGGCATAACAAACAATGGGCTGATGGCTCGAAAACCACACAAAATTTGAAAACTTGGTGATTGTGGAATAGTTCCCTTATGATTTCTCAGGGTAAAAGATACTAGAGGAAATTCTAGTCATTAGGAAGAGAATTTCCTTTAAAAACACAACAGCCTTATAAATAGATACCTAACAAATACGGTCCATTTCAGATTCGATTCAACAAGTATCTATTAAAAGCCTGCCATGACCAGCCCTTTGTGGACACTTGATAAATGACAGACTCAGCACTACCACTGTGCACAGTGGGGAGAAAGACGGCTTTTCAATCAGGTGTGTGGAGACGGCTTTTCAATCAGATGTGTGGAGACAACTTGGAAAGAAATGAAATTGAATTTCTACCTCTCACTCAACACAAACATCAATTCCAGGTGAATAATAGACTTAAAGGTCTCTTACGCCTGGAAAGGCTGAACTCTAAAACTCTGAGAAGATAACATATCTTCATGACTTAAGAGTAGGGGACACTTGTTTGAACAAGTCACAAGAGCAGCAATCATACAGGAAAAAGAAAGGGTAAATACAATAAACCTGAAGAACTTCTGCTCATCAGAAGACATGCCACAGAAATATATTTGTAATACATGTATCTATAATATATAAATCATGTCTACCAGTCAATAAAGAAAAGATAACTCAGTAATAAATAGGCAAAAATACTGAACAACATTTCACAAGAGAGGCTGTCCAAATGGGAATGCCATATGGAAAGAGGCTCAGCATTATTAGCCATCAGGGAGATCAAAACCAGAGTGAGATATTGCAACATATCCACCAGAACGGCTATGACTGAAAAGACAGACAAATCCAACCGGTCATGAGCGTGTGAAGAAAAAACACTCTCATGCATTGCTGAACGGGAGTATACACTGGTACAACCACCTCGTATAGCTGTTTGGTAGTATCTACTGAAGCTAAACATATGTCTACACATTGATCCAACCATTTCACTACTAGATATTAACCCAATAAAAATGAGAGTATACATCCACCAAAAGAAATGTATAAGAACATTCATAGTATCTTTATTCATAATGGTATCAAGCTATAAACAATCCAAACATACATCCACAGTAACATGGATGATTCAACTAGTCTATGTAGTGGGAATACTGCATACTCCATATGCACTTGACCCTGGAACACATGGGTTTGAACTGTGTGGGTCCACTTATTCATGGATAGTTTTCAATAGTAAATACTGCGGTACTACAAGACCCGTGGCTGGTTGAATCTGCAGATTGGAACCATGGATATGGAACGGCAGATATGGAGGGCCAACTGTAAAGTTACACACAGATTTTCAGCTATGCAGAGGGTAGGTACCTCTAACCCCCACGTTGTTCAAGGGTCAACTATATTACTGTACGCTTGTTAGACCTTCATTAAAAACACCAAGCAAACAAACAACCCATCCCATAGGGATATACATGTTTTCCTGTACTGCTATTGCACCCTGAATTTTTTATAAACACCGAACTTAAAGAAGAAAATATATCTTTGTCCAGACAATCAATCTTTTCAATTTATATTCTCTCCATCCACAAATCAATGATATACTAATAATCTGTTAAAAAAAAAAAAAGGCAAGCCACAGAGTAAGAGAAGGTATTTGTAGCATATATACTGATATGGAACCCACCACAGGACAGAACCCTGCAAACATTAGAAAAAGACAACACGAGTGGGCAAAAGGCTTCTTACTTTGTACTTTTCAGAGTCCTTCCAGTTTTTCTGAAACTATGATATACTACTCATATTTTTTAAATTAATTTTTAGTTCAATGATAATCATGAATTTATTTCCCTTGTAAAAATTCGACATTCCAGATATGGCAAAAGTTCCTGTTGACCTCTAATCTTAGCTCCCTCCCTCATACCTAGAGAAAAATGACTGAATTATTTGGGATGGTTTTCCTAGATTTTTTTTCCAATGCAGGGTTATTTTGTGAGCTTTATTTTGCTTATTTTACTTTATGGCATCATAATGTGTGCCTTGTGTTGGAACTCACTTTTTTTCCACTCAGTATTATGTCTTTCACCATTTTCTATGTTGTATGTGCAAAGCCACTTTCATTGACTGTTACACGGTCCTCCAGAGCACAGATATTCCAGTTTAAATCGCCCTTCCTCTACAGACATATATTAAGAGTATCTCCTTCCTCCCTCCCTCCCCTCTTCCTATCGTTTTTTTATTAGTCCTCCTATTTAATGAGAACAATCAATATGTCATTTGAATATTTAATTCCAGCTTCATAAATTAAAAAGCTCCTGCCTCATTCTAATCTTGGAAAGCACTGCCTTAGCTTGGGGATTTCCCCAGATGTCTAAGTAGAAAGCAGAGCGCACAGCTTTGGGGAGCCCTGATTCTATGTCCCCTTCCCACCCCCATACCCCCAAGGACTGGGATCAGTACCAGAAACCTTCGCTTTTGTTCTTTCACCTCTGCTGCTGATGTGCTGTGTGACCTCAGGCAAGTTGCGCCCTCTCTGGTTCTCCACTTCCTCACTTATGCATAGAGGGGGTTGGGACACATATACTGTTGGAGTCTGTCTCAGCTCTGAAGGTCTTTGATGTGAGTGTCCTGTTGTCCTCTGCGGTATATGCAACCGACCACCTAGGCAGGGATGCCTGAGACAGAATTTTCCTTTCCTTGTAGCCTCATCCACAGTCTGCCTCTTGGGGTCTATACAGGGGAAGCTAACTGATGCTCCGCATGAAAGGCGGCGCTGACGAGAGACACTAGGAACTGAGGCCTCAAGGACCCCCCCTCCCCCATCTCCACGTCTCTTGGTGCTCCTCTTCCTGTGGCCTTGAGCGTTTTCGCCTCTCCCGTTGCGGAGCACAGGCTCCGGACGCGCAGGCTCAGCGGCCATGGCTCACGGGCCCAGCCGCTCTGCGGCATGTGGGATCTTCCTGGACTGGGGCACGAACCCGTGTCCCCTGCATCGGCAGGCGGACTCTCAACCACTGCGCCACCAGGGAAGCCCTCGCCTATGTATCTTATCCCTGTAACTTCTGATGGCTACGTTGCCATAGCAACCAGGCCCACTGAACCATGTTAAAAACCAGTTAGCGGGAAGAGGAACACTTAGCTGTCTCAAGAGTCCATCTAAAGGGGCACAGAGAGGCTATTACTCCCCACAGAAGAAAGGCAAATGAGGCTGTGTTTCAGAGACCGTCAGGTGGGAAGGGTCTGAGAGAGCAGCTGGTCCACATCCCTGGCTGCAGAGCTCACTCGGTTCGAGGCAGGAATCCTCTTGGGCTCTTATTCTAAGATCTTGCTCTTACTGCTTCCTTCCCACCTCTCTCTACCTTTGTTCCACCTCCTTCCAAATTCCTTCCTTTTCCTGCCCTTCTCCCTGTGCCTCCTGCCTCCAAGACGACCCCCGGACTGAACAGCTACAAATAGCCTTGCCCTTCACTCACCTTCCAGCTGCTTCTTCTCCCAACAGGTAAAGGGCCTTTAAGAAAGTAAATCAGACCCCCCCACTCTCCATCTCACAGCATCCTAAGGTTTCCCGCGGGGCCCACGCGGCCCAGGACTGAGGCCACCCACCTCTCTCACCTCAGCCCCCACCTGGGCGACATTACCTCTTCACTCCAGCTCACTCCAGGGTTCTCTCCATTTCTGAAAGGCCTCAAGCTCCATCCTCTCCAAAAACAACACAGCCTTCCTGGCACCTGTGACTCTCTATCTGTCCTGTTTCTCTGTTTATTCTTTCACAGCACGTACCATCTGCATTCACATCTCTGGTTGTTTACTGCTTCAGTCGCCACCCTCTCCAGAATAAAAATGGTAATAATTTGTCTCTCTCATTCATGGCCATTTACGCATCACTTAGGACTGCACCTGGCAACGAGCAGGCTCTCAATACCCTTTTGCCGAATGTGTGTGCGGACAGAGGAAGGCAGGAATGGATGCTGAAAGATGCTCCTGCTGCGTCCTGAGGATCAAGCAACACCCCTCTGCATTACCTTCCACTGCGCCGGCTGTACCAGTCACCGCGCGCCTGGAGGGCTGGGCCCACCTGTGGACGCCTCATGGGACCAGAGCAAAGTGGAGAGCGCTGGGAGTGTGTGGAGAACGCAGCCTCTGTGAATAAGCCATGAGGGCTGGCCCGGTGGAAGAGAGTGCGCTGGTCCCGTGTGGTCCCGAGAGGTGGAAGCACAGGGACTTGTGCTTTTGCCCATTACGCTAACTCTGACCGATTATTTGGTTCTTACTGTACTCACCTTATATGCCTTATCTCCTTTCAGCCTTTAAACTGTGCTGCAGGGTAGAATCACTGTCTTCCATCACAACAAAAGGAGACAACACTACATGTCCTTCCCTTAGCCTGAAACAGCTGTCTCTAGTTCTCCACCAGGCCAATTCCTGGTCATTTTCCAAGTCACCTCCTCAGAGAAGTCCTCCCTCACCCTCAAGACCACACCAGGTTTTAGGTTCCCAGCGGACCGGACCTGGCACTCATCCCTCGCAGCACTTGCTGTGACAGTAAACACATTGTTTCTGTGTAAACACTTGTTCAGTGCAGGTCTGCCCTCCACCATCCAGGACACGAGGTGGGGCCAGCTACCGCTGCATCCCCCAGTGCAGTGCCCAGACTGTGGCAGCCAGGAGTTAACCACGTGTCTAGGGAGTGAATGGAAAACCCAGGCTCCGAAGGACTGCTGAGGCCCTGCCGCTAGCGGAGGGGGTCTGGGATGGAACCCAGGCCTGTCTGACTCCAGGGCCTGCTTCCCCTCAGTGTCCGAATGGTCGGAGTGGTCTGAATGGAATGGAGAGGAGCGTGTGCCCGCCCTGGAAGAGCACAGAACTAAGCTGCAGGGCTCCTGGGCGGGGTGCGCTAGAGGGGCCTCGGGCATCTGTTGAGGTTGGGGGGGGGGGCCCTTCCATCCTCGAGACATGCCAGTCCCTCGGGGCTCAGGACTCACCAGAGCTTGCTCGATAAGCAGGCAGAACAGGATGGCGTTTCCCACCTCCCTCAGACTCTGGAACACGTCGGTTTTGAGCTCTGCGTACTCGATGATGTCCTTCAGCTGGTGGTGGAAGAATTCCAGGATCCCTGGGAGATGCAGGGGGATGGTCAGCTGGAGGTTCGTGCTAATCGCTATCTGCAGGATCTCACGTAATACTCATAACGATACCAGGGACTAGGCACAGTTACCCCCATTTTCAAATGAGGCTGAGAGGTAAGTGGTGCGTCCACACTCACACAGCTAAGTGGCGCAGCTAGGAACGAAAACTAGAGCTTTCGGCCCCAGCCCTTTCCTACTCTGATTCACACTGACCCAGGGCCGGACATCTTGGTATTCAGAAAAAACCCCTGGGGCCAAACTCATAGTCTCCACCTTTCCCCACCCCTCAGGCCCTAAATTCAGTCCACGTGCTTTCACTATTAGGAAAGGAAAGACTTATTTCTCTGCGCAGAGGTGGAGTGGCAAAAACTCCTATTTCCTGACTTAACCTTAGAAATGTCACTTTATGCCACACCTGGGGCACCGGCCTCTTTCAAATAGACACATATGGAGGAAGGAATGTAGACGTGCTGAACTAAGGAAGGCCTTTACAGCTATACCTCGCTATTCATGATTTAACTGTTCTCTCATTTGTGGACCTCTTCCAGCTTCCGGGCAGTGCTGTGAAGCAGGTCCAGTGGGCATCATTTACTTTCACTGATGGAAGATGATACTATTACTCAGGGGGATTAAAAATGGTCCAAGGTGATTCAGTGGCAGAGGTAGGGTGCAAACCCAGTGCTCTGACCGCTTGCTGCCATGTTAGAGAAGCAAATACTTCAAGGTAGATGGCCAGACTCTCCTTCCACAGTGGGATGGGTCTGGACTATTTTCCTATCGCCGCACCCAGCCCCTGGTTCCCCTGGTCACCAACCTGGGGAGCCGTACTCATGCCGGGGCAGGCGGCATATCTTGGGCATGACCTCGATCAGTGTTTTCACATATTGGAGAATGGTCCCTTGGAGCTGACGAAAGAAGAGGACAAGATGAGTGAAATAATCCACCACTGCTGCATACGTGTATCTTGGGGCTGAACGCTGGGCTACTGGGGCATATGGAGGTTCTGTTGAGACCCGTGGGTAAGTGCTATGGACTGAATATTTGTATTCCCCCCAAGTTCATATGTTGAAACCCTAATCCCCAGTGTGATGGTATTTGGAGATGGGGCCTTTGGGAAGTAATTAGGCTATGAGGGTGGAGTCCCCATGATGGGATTAATGCCCTTATAAGAAGAGAGGGGAGAGAGAGACATCTCTCTCGCTCTGCCATGTGAAGACACAGGAGAAGGCAGCTGGCTGTGAAGTAAGAGGAGGGTCCTCACACGTTGCCACTGTGATCTTGGACTTCCAGCCTCCAGAACTGTGGACAATAAACATTTGTGGATGAAGCCAAATGGTATATTTGTCACAGCAGCCCGAGCTGCCTAAGACAGCAGGGCACTGCTCCCTGAGAGGAGAGGCAGGCTCTCTCCCAAAGGAGGGGGGCAGCCTCCTTGCCCTTTGTAAGGAAACATGGGCCTTTGTAAGACAGAAAAGGGAATGCTCTCAGTGTTACCTTGGGCTTATAGACTTCAAGGAGGGCAATTTCTAGGCATGGGGTCCCTTCTGGGGTTGGAGTACTTACATGAGATCCAAACTAAGATCTAAAATGAAATGGGGCCAGGGAGCTATGAAGACTGAGACAATATCTAATTTAAGCATGGAAAATTCATGGCACATTCATCCCTCCTGTGTCCCAGGCAGACATCGTTAATCAATTACCACATCTTCCTTCTTAAATTTAGCTTCACAACCTGGAACAACCCCTGGTTATACACAGCTGCTACCAGAGGACTGGAGTTAAGAGGTGAATCCTGTTTGCTATTCCTGATATGGATATGCATTAATCTGTTTCTCTTTTGTCAACTCAAAATTTTAAGAAAATTTGTTGAAATGTTTCAGCCTTGCTGCAGCAGTGTCCTGGGGAATTAAATGAAGGTTCAGATGGCCATACTTGGGGTGGACATAGAATGGTGGCAAAGGTCTATGGAATTCCCTCGAGGCCAGCGGAGTATTGGTAGCACCAGTCATCAAGAAATTCCAAGGGGGAGAAGAGTGGTGATTTATTAGAGATGTCTGCCATGGGCATGGGAGGGAAAATGGCAGCACATGTGTCATGGATTTGTCAAGCTCAAATTAGATAATGCAGCACAGGAGATGGGTATGAGCAGTCATTAGTAGGCCTTCAAGTCAAAATCAAGATTGCTGAGTTCAGTTAGTAAGTACTGGGAGTGAGCTCAGCGTCAGAAAAGGAGAGGCAAAGCCACAGGTCAGAAGATGCACTGAAATGTTACAGAGCGATAGGTAAGAGGAATCAGGGGATAAGGGCAAAGGATTCCCTGGGTGATTCCTCTAGACAGAGCTGAAGAGCCTGTGACTTGATTTTCCAGGCCAGGTAAAAAGTGAAAGCAAGCCTCATTCTTCTCAACCCTAACGGCCCGTCCCAGGCCCCCTTCCTTACCAAGCTCTTGACGATCTTCAGCAGTTCCTCCATGACCACAGCGATGCCCTGGTAACCCAGGAGTCTGCAGATGGTCTTGAAATGAGGGGGTCCCACGAAGTTCCTATAGGAGCTGTAGATGTGGCTGTAGGCAATGTTGAGAGGCTGGAAAACAGAGGATGTGGCCAAGTCAGTGGCAGAGAACTGTGAGTCCTAGCAGGAGGTGTTTCAATCATAGAAAAGATAGAAACTTGATATCCTTGTTCTCTCACTGGGGACCTCTATGAATACATTTTGCAAGCTGCTCATAGAGAATGGTGGTCAGTGACCACAGGATCCAGCGAAGGTCATCAGATGGGGCAGCAGTTTCCTAACAGAAGAGGAGAAAAGGCCTCCAGGTAAATATGTTTTTAATAGGACTCATGCTACCCACAACTGTCCACACACAAACCAGGACTTTCACAATTGAGCTATGGGATGAGGGTAAAACAAATGACTTCCTTTCTCTAGGGGTATTTTCAGTACTAGGAACTGGCTGGAAAGACCATGTAAGAACTCAACAGCTGCTTCAACATTGCCTTCTTTCTACGCTGAGGCGCCTCCATCTATCACAGGGAGGCATCTTGGGGACCAAGAGGCCTGGGAGGCAGGAGACCCCTGCTGAGTGCATGGGAAAATCACATTGGCTTTTTGAGCCTCAGTTTCTTCATCTGTGAAATAAGGGGGTTGGATTACAACAGTGGTTCTGTAGCTTTTCGATTAGCAATTAAAACAAAAAAGATGCCACGGAAACAAGTACATGAAACAGACAGAAGCAGAGTTGCTCTGATTGGGTGCTGGTTGGGGGCCACCTTCATTGTCCTCTGGACCCCATGAGACACCATCGCTGAATTAGTGGAATCTCTTTAAGATCTTTCTGTCTGAGAATACAGGGCCAAAATAAAGGGCTCTGAATTGGTCTCACCTAGCTGGTGATACACTAAGGTTATCATTGACTTTGTTTTGAAATGCTGCCACTTACGGAGCACCTCATGCCAGGCTTCATGACGCCCTCCAAGTGCATTTTCATTTAATCCACACAACCAATGTATGTGATCCGTGATCCATACAATTCTTGGCCCTAATTCACAGATGAGGGAACTGAGGCTCAGGGTGGTAAGTAGCTTGTGCAAGGTCACACAGTTAATAGGTAACTGAGCCCTGATCTGAACCCAGGTGGCTGTGATTCCAAAGGCCATGTTCTTAACCTCTACCTACAATGGTGAACTTTGGAAGCTGAATTATTACGTAAACCATAACCTTTTTTTTTTTAAGAAAAAACTTCACTTCTAACCTTAGTTCTGAGTATAATTTTCCTATCGGGAATTGTAAAAATCTTGTATACAGAACATGCAAATATGGAAAGACCACATCTGATATTCTATTAGCTGAAATTCTCTATAAGCTGGCTAATTAGAAATCCTACATGAATTAAATAGGAACTGTAATGATGCTTTTGGAGTTCTGCAAGATTCTCAACTCTGGAGCCATCAAGGGAAGATTTAATTATGTTCAGTCTAGGTTTTGCATTAAGTACGTTTTACTCTACACGAATTATTCTAAACTTTACAAAACAAGCATCACAATTATAGTACCCTTGAATAATGAGGATACACGAGGAACACAATTAGAGTGCCCACTAATAACAAGAATTCGTGAGGAATCAGAACACCCACTCATCCCGCAGGTTGAATAATAGTTCTCTTGGTAAGCTAATGCCTATATATGGGGAGGCCTGGAATGTGAGAAAGCAGCCTTCTGCACTCGACACTGGTGTGCTGTCACAGCAAAACTTTGCCTGAGCCTGGGAGAGGGATCCCTTGTAGGTAGTTACTAAAGATTTCTAAATGGTATGGGGCAGCAGTGGTTTATGTAAGGAGGGAAAATATAACTGATTAAAAGCATGATGTTCACTGAGTTGATGGTCAGCAAATCCTGGAGTATATGAATTGTTGAGTTTGATTTAGTCAACCATGGGGCCAGCCCATGTAATTTTCTGTGTATGGAGCCAACCATTTTACTGTCTCTGTAACAGGCCACCCTGCCAAACAGGGCTGGGACCAGGGAGAGGTGAGTGAGGTGGCGCTAGGGCACACGTGGTACAAGGTACTCACCCTCCCAAGTGAATGCATCTTAGTTCTGGCCCTGTAATCAAAGGCCCACTCTGTAGTCTCCTGTTTCCTCTCCAAGGATGAGGCGGGTATAAAACAAACACCAGATACACCATGGCTTACCTCTGGTTGGGGAAGGAGAGTGACTAGAAAGGGGCATGAGAGAACTTTCTAGTTGATGGAAATGCCCTACATGTTGACTGGGTTCTTGACTACACACATGTATACATTTTTCAAAATTCATGAAAGTATATGTACACTTAAGATCTCTGCGTGTTATTGACTGAATGGTTGTGTCCCTCCCAAGTTCTTATGTTGAAATCTTAACCCCTATTGTGATGGTATTAGGAGGTGGGACCTTTGGGAGGTAATTAAGTCATGAGGGCGGAGTACTCATCAATGGGATTAGTGCCCTTGTAGGAAGACACATGAGAGAGCTCTACGTCTCTCTTTTCTCCATCACGTGGGATACGATGAGAAGAAGGCTGTCTGCAAACCAGGAAGTAGGCTCTCAACAGACACTGGATCTGCTGGCACCTTGATCCTGGACTTCCCACCCTCTAGAACTGTGAGAGATCATTGCTGTTTAAGCCACCTAGTTACCGTATTCTTGTTATAGCAGCCTGAACTAGGACAGTGCATTTTATTGCTTATGATTATACGTCAATAACAAAAGTAAATTAAAAAGCCCACTGGGCTATATCATAGCCTAATTTACTTCCCAACATTTGCTTTCAAAGAGAAAAAAACACGATTTGAGTTTCTTCCCAAAGAGGGCTGCAGCTTAAGCCTGCAAAGGCATGTAAGAAGGATGACTGGGCTGTGCTCACAGCCTGAGGCGAGGGGCCCCTCATGGACTCGTCCCCCAAGAGAGCTGCCTCCTCACTCCCCAACCACACCAGGTGCTGCAGCCTCTCCTCTGAAACCAGTAAAGCTCTGGGCATGTTCAGTCTTCTTTCAAATATCCCGTGAAAGGAACTTTTGAGCAGCAGGGAGCTTTCAATGGATATCCCTGGAGGGGGTGAAAAGCAATCAGCTACTTTTTCCCCCCTGTATGATTCTCTGACTTATTTTCCTGCTTTGTCTGAGTCCAGAGTTATTTACTGGGGTGGGCACACCTGATTTCAAATTCCAGTTCCATCAATTTACTAGCTAGATGATCTTGAGCAAATTACTTAAACTCTCTTAGCCTTGGTCTTCCCTAAGTAAAGATAATAATACCAACTCCTGTAGGGTTGTTGGAGGTTTAAATGAGATGACATACATACAGCACTTGGCATGGTGCCTGGCACACTGGAAGCACCCACTGAAATAACAGCCCTTCATATTCCTTCGTTTTGGTAATTTGGTAAGTGAAGACTATGAAAATACAGCTTCCTGGTCAAATTTCCCCCAGCAGCTTTGGCTACAGTCACGATCCCCTGAATGTGGACAGTACATCTGTGGGGTACAATTTCATACAACTTGTGACAGAGGGTAGAGCTGAGACCAGCTGACGGAACATACCCAAAAATGCAGATTTTGCTCAATATTTAGAACTTTATAAAAATAGAAGCTGTCCAACAACAGACTGTGCTGGGTAAGGACGGAGACGCATGACATAGGGGTGTTAGAAGGGAGACCTGCCTGGAACAGAGGGTTGGAATAGATGTGTTATTAACTCCCCTCTGAAGTGCAAGCTCCAGTGTGGTCCTCCGGGCGCTCATCTTTCTTAGCGGTCTTCTTAACCCCCACTCCCACCCAAGGAGTTTCTAATATAAGCCTCCCTTAGCACTTCCTGGCAAGCACAAATAAAAATATATTTGGGTAGGTGGAAACTGTTCAGCAGCTCTCCCCAGCTCTAGGCAGAGAAGAAGAATTGTGGAATTGTTGTATCACACACAGGGCTTAAAAAAAAATCCCCCTTACAGACCCGCTCAATGCACATAGGAGGCCTCTTGTTGACATTCCTCCATCAGTTTTGGATTCTGGTCTGGACCATTCAGGCCTCAGTTGATGGCCCAAGGACCAGCATGAAATGAGCAGAATTCAAATCCTCCTTCTAAGTGAGCAAGCTCCCCTTATTCCCAACTCCCCCCACCAAAAACACACCACACCCATGCAGGAGGAAACACATACACATGCCGGAAAGTACATGCACACACACCCACGCAGGGCACCCATCTGACCTGCTGGCTCAATAGGAGGCTGGGCCCTATTGAGAAAATGTGGGAATGTGGGAGCCGGGGCATTTTCTGAGGTTTGGCAAAGAAAAACAGGAATGCGACATGACTTCAGATGTTGGAAACCTGCTACAAATCTCTTATACTGAACCAATCCTGCTAGCTGACTCAGGCTACAATCAATGTCTGCCTTTCGCGACTAATTATGTACCCTGTTTAGGATGTCTCACTTAAAATCAAGCTTGGTTAAATCGATCCTGCACAAAATAGATACCTTTATGAGATCTCAAGAAATCATCCTGATTCAGGAATTGGAGCATATTATTAATGTGTGACACTGATGCACATTTTTTTTAAAGGCGAAACAGTGTGTGTGTGTGTGTGTGCGCGCGCGCGCGCGTGTGTGTGTGTGTTTTGGGTTTTTTTCCTGGCTGCACCATGAGATGTGTGGGATCTTAGTTCCCTGACCAGGGATTGAATCCGTGTCCCCTGCATTGGAAGCGCAGAGTCTTAACCACTGGACACCAGGGAAGTGCTGGTGTGTACGATGAATACCCCTGAGGTCGAATCAAGGCTCATACTAGGGCAATGTTTAGATACCAATGATGACACTAAACAAAAGACCAAACCCACAATCTCTAAAGACCAAAACATTACTGGGAAGTTATTGGTATAATTTAAGGAATGATTTGTGCCACAATCTATATCACTTGCAAGGCTGCTTTATGATAGACTCTCTACAAGTTAATTACTTAGACATATTTTTAAAGTTTCCACTCATATACTAATTTCAGTTACTAGACCAGTTGCTAAAGGCTTTTTACATTTAATATTACCCCTAAGTGACAGAGCTCTTAGGCAGGGGTACTTGGACTCCAAACTCCGGAAGAGGAAACACTTGCTGACTGAATTTCTCCAAAGGTAGTTGATGTTTTCGCTGCTTCTGCTGGCTACCTTCGGGTGGCTGGGTGTTTCCTCTGAGGTCTTTTAATTCCTTGCCTGTTCCTATCACCCTGGAATCCACCAAATTAAGAAGTCCTGCCTCTAGCTCTCTGACAAGTCAACCACAAGGCAAAGAGCTGCTGCTGACCACCTATGACTGAAGGTTGACCCAGCAGCACGGCAGTGCATCAAGGAGGCTGGCCAGGAGCTTGGGCTCTGGACCGACAGACCTCAGCGTAGGGCCCTGCTCTGCCACAGCCTAGCTTTGTGATACTGGTCAAGTTACTTAATCCCTCTGAGCCTCAGTTTCTCCCTTTGTACAATGGTGATAAGACGGCCTACCTCAAAGAGCTCCCCATGGGTAAAATGAGAAAACACATTTTCTCGTGCACTGAAATGTTCTCAGTGGTTATTTCTGTGTCATAGGATTTTGACTGCTGTCTTTGAACTTTCTGATACTCTTTATGTACAACGAGCATGTACATTAAAAAAAAAATAAAGCTGTTTTAAGGGGAGAGAAAAGGAAGGAAGCATCATGCAGAGTGCAAACCTGATCCATTACAGCCTCTGGATGAAGCTATGACCAACTCAGGAAATGGCTCTGACCCACGGACATTTTCTTCTTAATAATAATGTCTACTATTCCTAAGCTCAGCACTACAGAGATGGGTTCGTCTCACTGCTACAACATTATCAGGTGGGTAATATTGATATTTGCCTTTTACAGAACAGTTAACCAAGGCCTAGGAAAGTCAGAAAATTTGTCCAAGGCCACAGAGTCAGGATTTGAACCTAGCCTGGGGACTTCAGCCCCTGGGTGCCAATCAGCTTTGGGACCAAGGTATGCTCTCTCACTGTCCCTTCACTGCCACCTTCAGGGAGGCAGGGAGCAGGGATCCCGCTCTTGGCTGGTTTCCTCTGGCAATGATTTACTACTGGTGTAAACCAACCAGGGACCACCTGGCCTGACAGCTGAAGAGGCTGCCACTCAGGTGACTGCAGAAGAGTCCTGCCTAAAGGTGAAGACAGTGAGCCTGGCTGGGGTGCGATCTCCTGATGTCCCCAGATGATCTGTCTCATCCACAAGGGCTCACTGGCTTCTCTGGGTGCTGCTGGGGAATGGTGATGGCCCAAAGGAGCAGGATAAGCCCTGGACTTGGAGGCAGGGACCCGGGTTCCACTCCTGACTCTGCCACTAATCAGTCACCCGGCCTGAGGAAAGACATCCCTTCTCTCCGGATCTGCGAACCAAGAGGACTTCTAGGCCTTACATCCTCCAAGTGTCTCAACTTCTCAAATAAAAAGCTCAGGGTGAAAAATGGCATCCAGGAGCATTAAAAATAAATTCTTGTTTTCAGTGGCAAAGGCTTGAGCTCCATCTCATCACTCCACAGGCCCCCTAACGCTGGTATTTTTATTCCCCTCAAAATAACCTTTTCAAAAGGCATCTGCAAACTACTGCGTTGGCCTTTCTGTGGAGAGGACGCTTTCATGCTCTGCAGGGAGTCGCCATTAGCATGTATTACAGCAGATTCTAGACAGACCCCTTCGAAAACTGAATGCCACGGGAGGGAAGCACAGAGCAAATGTCTAACTGAGGGACACCGGGCATTCCAAGACCCCACGCCCTCACAGAGACCCTTGGCCCAGGGAGGGTCTGTGACTCACCGGGCAACTCTTTATAACTTTTTGATTATCACTGATGTGAATCAAAAGGAGACCTTCATGGGTCCACTTGGATACTTTGGCCAAGAACCAAGAAGAAACAAGATGACTTTTAAAAATGCCTAATTTGTGTTATATGATTCAGGTCTAAATCCATCGGAGCTAGGGCTGCTGTAACAAATTACCACAAACGTGGTGGCTTCAAACATTCGAATCTCTCACAGTTCTGGAGGCCTGAAATCAAGGTGCTGGAAGGGCCACGCTCCCTCCAAAGGCTCTAGAAGAGAATCCTTCCTTGCATCTTCCAGCTCCTGCAGGTCCCTGGCAGTCCTTGGCTTATGGCAGCATCACTCCAATCTCTGCTTCTGTCTTCACATGGCTTCTACCCTTTGCATCTCTCTGTGTATGAACCTCCCTCTCCTTTCTCTTATAAAGACACCAGTCATTGGATTTAGGGCTCCCCCTAAATACAGGATGATAACATTTCCAGATCCTTACCTAATTAAATTCACAAAGTCCCTACCTCCAACTAAGGTCACATTCTGAGGTTCTGGGTGGACCTGAATTTGGTGAAGGGTAGGGGTGGGGAATGCTCAAACCAACTCAGTACGAGTATCCTGGCGGTTCAGCAAGCCTCACATGGGTTCAGGCCTGGGCAGGGGGGTAGCACTCATGTTTTCTACCTGACATCCTGATCTAGCCCAAGCGATCAGCTTTACAGATGATGGAACTGAGGCCCAGAGAATAAAAGTATCTTGACCAGTGGCATACAACTAGGTAATGCCACAGGAGGCAAGAATAAAGAAAGAAGAGGGTGTAGAGGTGGGTAAGGAAGTGGGGTGGCAGTGGGGTGAGAGGGGATGAGGATGTAATTACCGTTTTACTTGTGGGAAAACAAGAACGGCAGCTTTGCATTTGCAACCATTGTCCAAAGAAGGTCTAGATGGGGAAAAAAATGATAACTAGCTTATTAGAGACCCAATTTAGGAGACTTTGAAGAATTAGTACCACCCTGAGGATCAGTGTGCAGGGGACTGTTTGCCTTTTTTTTTTGGCCAAAGGAATGAGAGCTCCTCTCACTGGGCAAAAGCCTTTCCAGACTGGTCCCTGAAACATCCTGCGTACAGATGCCTGCTGGTTGCCATGGTGAATGAAACTGATCTGAAGAAATGAATAATGTGAGCGTTGGGGGCGACAGTGGAATTACTCACACAGTGGTGAGAGAGACATCAAGTAGAGCCCAGAGCAGGGGAGGGAGAAGGCAACATCCTTCAGCTTTGGTCCACTCTGCCTCTGAGGGCTGCGTTCTAACCGGATCCACTGTGAGCATCAGGTAAGGGACACAAATGGCTCTTCTTGGAAATGGAAATGGCTTTTCCTTTCACACTGCTTGGGGGAGGGCCAGGCAATGGTAATACGAACAGCTAAAAATAGGGGGGATTTAAAAACAGAAGCAGTGGAAGAAAAATAAATAATGGGAGACATTTAGTCGTAAAAGCTCTGAATGCTGCATCTTGACAGAAAGCTCTTCAAAATGTCTGCTGTAGAAAACTCAGTCTGCAAAGACAGCCAGCACAGATGTGAGGCAAACAGAAGAGATTCATGACAAGAAACAGCATTCCTGATCACTCCTGATGGAAGGGTTTATGAGGGCTATTGCCTCTGTATCGTAAGTAATGAATTAAGCTCTTTTCACTGTGGTCTCTATTTATAGGGGTGTGGCGGGGTGGACGGGTGTGTATGAGAAGGAGACCCATGGAGGGAGCACAGATACTCAATGTCTTCTGCAAAGACTCTCGCTGGAGGGATCTGAGCACACCTTCCTTGTCCCTTTCATCCCCCATTTTTCTGGAAGAAAATTTCTAGCCAAACGGAAAGGAACTCCCCTTCCTGAGCATTTTAGTTCATTGTCATCCATAGAGAAGAAAAACAAGGCCTGAAAAATCATTCACTGCTGGGCATCTTCCTGTAGCTCACTTCCTCTAGGAGCACGGGCACGAACACAGGTGGTTGGAGGGAAGCAGGGAGGAGAGAAAGCAGCTCGTAATCGCAATCAGTGTGGCTTAATGTCCAATTCAGGTTAAAATCTGATCGACTGTTTTTTACTCTGTCATTGCAATCTGAAATGAAACCTTCTGCATTTCATGTGAGAGAGGAGGGGCAGAGAGCTGAGCTGGGTGAGATCTATCCGTGAACATACACAGGTTGACTATGGCTGTCTCTGAATTTTAGCTCAGGGGAAATTCAGTAGAGGAGAACAATATCTCTCAAACACATAGAATTAAAAAGAAACGAAAAAGCTTGAAGATGGCGCACTTTTAGCAAAGCGAGAGGGCTGGCAATCTGAAGAGGGCTCATTTCACGTGTCAGGAAAAATGGCAACTCAGTCTTGGTACCAGCACCTCATTTTGCAATAACCTTCTACGACTAAACCCGGCAGCCTTGTCTTTGTAAATCCAGTGGTCACGTGGCTTTGGGTCTTGTACCTGTTAGCTGATGGCTCCTCTCAGATTGCTCATCTGTAGAATGGGAATCTAGTTCAGAGGGTGTGATGAACAAAGGATATTTACTCTTATATGTTGAGCTTCTAGTGACCTGTGACATAGCAACTGCTCGCTATTGCTGGTTATTACCATCATTAACAGTCACAGAACCAGCAGTATCAAACAGCAGCAGTTATGCTGGTATTTGGAGCTGATTATCTTGACCTGTGAAACTAATTTTCACAGGTAATTCGGCTTTGAAAAAAGCTAACGAATGGACAAAACATGAGCAGAGGCTTTGGGGAGAAAGCTGCCGCTGAGTGATGATGCACATCTCCTCTGGCTACGGGCAACAGCGCTTGGAGGCTAAAAACACAGTGGCCAGAACGTTCTAGATGAATGAGCTCACAGCACTTGGGGCAGAAACAGGAGTTCCAGAGGGAAATTTTAGGTGAAACAACTGCCTGACCTGGAGGTCACAGACCCGTGGGGACTCACGTGGGGGCTCTGAGGCTGTGCTGATTTGTCCTTTCACTGCCTTTTTTCCCCTTATTTTTTTAAGGTTTGGGAACCATGTTGTATTTAAAGAATCTGAGCCACGGCAGGATGAGGCTGGGGGGATGTGCGTGCATCTCTTTTGGGCCTGATGGCCCCCAGCTTTGGCATGAGACAGCCCTGATTTGAACTGTGGTTCTGCCATTTCTCGGCTATGCCTAGCTGAGCACTGTCACCTCTTCGCCTCCATCTCTTTGTCTGTAAATCGGGGTCAATATTAGTCCCCATCTCGAATGCTCAATGAATGGTGGCTATGATTATCATAAATAAACACTTAGATGAGGAGATGACACACTTCACTTTGATTCTGGTTTCAGAATCGAGATGAACATCGAGGTTGGGAACGTTTCTTATACGGGAGCCATCGTTTCCTGGTCGTCCTCGGAGCCCTGCCTGGAGGACTATTACCATATTATGTACAGGCCCAAGTGGAACAGCATCTTCTCTGGCTATCTTCGCTACAGCTTCCACCACGAGGAGCAGGTGCCTCGAACAATCAGCTCCGTGGTGCTGGAACACCTCACCCCTTCCACTCTCTACTTCCTGTGCATCAGCTGCAAGAAGATGCTCTTCCCCTACAGGCACTACTGCACCGTGTTCCACACCCTGGATAAGAGTCCACTGGCTGCGGGAAGTTCCCTGGTGGACCCCCAGATCTCCCTTTGGGTGCTGATGGCCATTCTGCTGGCCTGCTTCACAGCAGTCTTAGCCTTCATCTGCCTCCAGTTCTGGTGTATCCGTTGCCATGAGCCTCGATGGTCCTACAGAGCCGGCCTCATGGAGGAAGCCAATGGCCTGGTGAGATGGCCAGAGGAGGCCCCGGGTCTGGGTCAGGGGGAGGAAGACCTGCAGGGGCTCCCCCTGGTGGAAGTGCCACGCAAGAACTCCGGAGCTGACGCGGAACCAGAAGCCGCAGCCGCAGCAGAGGAACAGGATGCCCCCGACGTGGGTGCCCTGAAGAGGGAGGGCGGTGTTCATCCTGCCGCACTGCCTCATTTTGGGGAGTGAGAGGTGGAGGGGAGGCAGCCCACATCAGGTAGCTTAAAGCCCTCCACGCAGCAGGTCTCCGGTAAAATCGCATCTGTAGACTACCCCATTCGCCTCCCCTCAAATGTCAGAGCTCTGACACATGGACCACCTGGTTGGATGAATGCCCTTTGGCAAAGCTTCTCTAGCTGGAAAACATATAACCCCCTGGTGTGCAAAGGGAGGAACACGGAATCTCTTAGGAGTGTCCATTTAGGGTAGGGTGTCTCAGTTAGGAATTAAAAGCATTTATTTCAATATTAAAACCACCATGAATATATTATGGTATAGAAAGTGAAATCTGCATGACTTAAATAAAATACAAAACTTTCAGGAAATTTTTGAGTTGAAGATGGGCTCTTGAGTTATGCTTTCAGTCAGCTGAGGCAAACGTCCAGTCTCCTCTGCTGTTGAGGGGGATTATTTTGGAAAGATGTGAGAAGCCTTGCTCTAGAGTGTTTTCCAACTTTCAGCCAATCGCACACCACTTTGTACCCCATCTTCACCTTTTTTTAAACCACAGACTATCTTTACGATTATTAACAATACCTTTTCTTTAAATTGACTCATTTTTTAAACTTATTTTAAAACATAGGCTTATGCTACTCCCCAAATGAAAAACCAGCACCCTCCTGCTATAAATAGAAGGGAAGATACATAATAAATAGAATGAAAACAAAACAATACTAAATTTGACTTGGATACTATTGCCTACTAAGGACTCTGAGCTCAGGGCCTGCTCTCTCATCTCTGATCAAAAGGGAGATTAGGGCTTCCCTGGTGGCTCAGTGGTTGAGAGTCCGCCTGCCAATGCAGGGGATACGGGTTTGTGCCCAGGTCCGGGAGGATCCCATGTGCCGCGGAGCGGCTGGGTCCGTGAGCCATGGCCGCTGGGCCTGCGCGTCCGGAGCCTGTGCTCCGCAACGGGAGAGGCCACAAGAGTAAGAGGCCCGCGTACCGCAAAAAAAAAAAAAGGGAGATTAGCAGTCGTTGGGAAGGTATTAAAGACATATTAGCACCAACATAAGACTTGCTCCTTGGTATAATCAGCAAGGTCTGAAAAAGCATTGCAAAGGGAGTTACTTTGTGAGTGACTGTTAATTCATGCCATGACTGTGGCTGTCTACAGTGCTGTCTGTAAAGGTTCCCTGATTTGAGAGAGTTGTCTTGACCAGACCAGACTGGCTGCTCTGGAGAAGACACCTGTACTCTCTCAGCATCATCCTAAGACGTTCTAAGCCCCACATTCAGGCCCAAGTGAAGGGCACTCATCTTGGTTCCTCACACTTCCCAATCTAGGGCTCCCGACCTAGAGAAGCACCTTTTCTAACCAGGCTATATTTATCCAGTCACTTCTTCTTCTAAGTCCCTCTGTGCTTATTTTGTGAAAATGGGGTCAAAGGTGGCCATTTTTCATCCATCACACACAAAAAAATCTTGGCTTTTTTGCCGTTGCTGTTGAGCTATTGCACCCTTTCTGTGGCGTTCTCCCACACAAACCCGCAGGGTAAGAAACGATCTCCTACATATGTCATGGTGATGGTAAGACTTTGTGAAGGGTGTCCCCCAGTGCCCACCCCGGGTATGGAAATGGAGCTGGAGGAGGGTGGAGATGCGTCTGCTTCAACCTCTGCTAAATCCCCAGCATGGAGAACCTGCCCAGCATCTGGCCTACAGTGGGGGCTTAAGGAATGTCTGTTTAACGAATGGCAAAGGACTGAAAGTCCAGAACAGGCACCACCTGGGAAGCTTTGTTAGTGTCAGGACTGGCACTGTGAGCAAAGCAGCAAAGAGACAGGAGGAGACCTCTCAGCTCTAACTCCGGCCATCTGGGATTTCCTTCAAAGCTCCTCCACCTTCTCAACTGCTTCCTATCTGCAAATCCCTCATCTTCACGGAGCACAAAATCCCAGAATCGCAGGATGATACCACGATGAATCAACCGAGAACAGGAGGAGATGGGACGCCGAGACAAGGAGACCCACAGGCCTATTTCCCTGCTTGCCTCATCAAGTCCTCCCCAGACTGTTCCTGCCCAGAATCCAGCCCCACCAGGTCTGCGCTCACCCTCACCCCTGCTAGTTGTAAACAAATAAACATGAATATACTTGCAGTTGTTTCTGCCTGGATTTCACTGCTGCCTCTGTATCTCCAGGCTTTTTGCTTTTCTGATTTGGGGAACACTCTTCTATCTGCTTTTGCTCACTAGTCCTCTTAGAAGTAGGACACAGGCAAGACCACTCACCTTGGACCCATAGAGGTAATAAGGCTGGACGTTGGCGGGTTTATCTCTTTGCGGTTCTTGGGTGAAAGGAATGGCAGTTCGGACAAAACTAGTAGAAGAAAAGAGATGGGGCAGGAGTTAACTGGGTCCTAATATTATTCTTCACGGGACTTGATATAGCGGGAGCCCTTCCTGATCAGGCACACCCACACTGTTTCTTAGGCCGTGGCCTACACAGGTACTTCTGACAGACTCTCGTTTAACTCCTGTCTCCTTTTCATAGATGGGAACACTGTAATCCAGGTTCACAGGCTCGACTTTGGGCTTGCAGCTGCTCAGACAGTGGTCAAGAAAGTCGAGAACAGGGTGGGCCTGGAAACAGCCTTCTCCAGGGCTTGGACCCTCCACCCTCAGTTTGGTTTCCTCAAGAGTAGAGTGCTGCAAACTCTTTCTTTAAAGGCCCAGATAGCAAATATGCTCCGCTTTGCCAGCCAGATGGTCTCTGTCACAACTACCCGACGCTGCTGTAGCACAGAAGCGCCCATAAACAAGCTCATGAGCCGTAAATGAGCGAGCGTGGATGCCAGAGTTCCAATAACACTTTGTGAATTTCAAATAATTTCTACTTGTCACCAAGTTATAACTCTTTGGATTTTTTCCCTAGCCGTCTCAAAATATCAATACCATTCTGAGCTCACAGGCTGAACAAAAAGAGCTGGCAACTAGAGGTGCCTCGTGGGCTGGAGTGTGCAGATCTCTGCACAAGAGGATTGAAAGTCCCAAATCTTTAGAGAACCGGAAGTCCATCTTGGTAAGTGTGTGGATTCCTCCCAGACCCTTCCGTGACTCTGGCACATACTTATTCTACGCTGGCCGTGAGCCAGGCCCTGATGACACGGATAGGGCTTGTCTGGAGGAGACAGCTGGCTGCTTCCACCGCCACCCCCACTCTGCTTTGCACAGAGACTCCCTTACCGGTTGGTGGACCCATTGTAGCAGTAGTTGGGGAGGAAGTCGAAGTTCAGCTCCCAGAAGACGTGCAGGGTGATGCGGCCGTAGGGGGCAGACACGTTGTGATTGGCCTCCCGGAACATGGCATCGAAGCTGTCCAGGGTCATGTGCTTACACAGCAGCCGGTGTGTGAGCCGATTGATCTCCAGCAGCCACTCCAGCTCCTGCCCAGAGAGAGAGCCCACGGCTGCTGAGGACTCACACACGCGCCTTGCACGCAGACACCATTATCTGACAGATGCCTTTCATGCAGGTGAGGGCCCCTCAGACAACTTTATAACGGCCAGCATGGGACTAGGACCGCTTACAGTAGTATGCGACGTTCCCTTCTTCTGAGTGAAGGAAGTACCAGACCATGCCCAGGGAGGCTGCGTGCCTGCCCACAGAAGGGGACCACAGACCATGTGCAAATCCCTTGTCTGCACCCCCCTGGGTAGAAAAGCATGACTACTTGCTCTCCAGTTTCTAGGTTAGTAAGGAAAAAGCTTGTCCCTCTGAGTTGCAAGTAAAGTAAAAGAAAGTTGTGAACATCCATCCATCACCAGAAGCTATCTCCACCTTGCAGAAAGCAATCAAAAGAGCTACCGCCTACTAAGTACTTACAATTAGGTTGGACCATGTGAAACTACTGTTTTTTAGGTCAAACACCATTCAATGTTAGTAATTTTTTATGGTTCAGTCTAATACATGCCAAGCAGTATTCTAAGCACTTTATATGTGTTAACTCACTTCATGCTCAAAAACCCCTAAAAGGTCAGCACGATGGCTGTTCTTACTGTACACATATAGAAACTAGGCTTTAAGAAGTGCAGTAACTTGGCTTCAAATCCAGGAAGCTGGGCTCCAAAGTTCACATTCTTAACAGTTGTATACTATAGAAATTTAAAAAACAGCTGGGGGCAGAACGTTCCCTCATCTGGACTCCTCCTGTGCCCCTCAGTCACACAGGGTTTGGTTACACATGTTGGCAAAGGTTTGGCTGCAAGCTATGGACGAAGGACGTGCATGAGCTGTGGGCCCTGGTCATTTGGAATCCAACCTTCAGGCAGAGAACAGGAGCAGAGCGGGTAATATCTGGACAGAGCAGGTCACTGCACTTGCTAGGAAGTAAAAAGGATAAAATCCTTTGGGCTGGCTTTAGTTCCTTGCTGTATTGCTATCGAAGAGAATCAAAGCACAGTCCTGTGCAGAAAACATCTCTGTGATGCTCTAGGACACTCCTACACTGTAGTGGTTAAGCCTTCTTTTGAGATGGGTATGACTGCCCCTGTTTCATAGAGGGGAAAACCGAGGCTCAGAGGATGAAGCAACTCGCTCTGGGTCATACAGTGAATACAGAACAGGGCTTAGGATGTGATCCCAGGTCTTGTGACTCCAAGTCCCATGTGTTTGGCCCCTGTGACACAGCTGCCTGGAATAAAGAAGCAATGACTAAGAAAGCCCTTTGAAAAGTAAAGATGGCTTTACAACATAAAAGCTAAAAGAACGTCGGCAAAGGCAGTTCCCCAGAGTGTGGCCAGGAGGTGGGATGGTCAGAGGGCCAGCTGTAAGAGCTGGGCCTTGGAGCCCAGTTGTCTACAGTCATAGGAGGTGGCCTCACACCAGAGATTCAATTTTATTTTCATCAGCCACAAGAACCCTCTGACTCTGGTTGGGGTCCAGAGTGTGGTAGGCCCAGACTACGCTTCCAATCTTGGAGCTTCGTCTCTCTGAAACTCAGTTTCTGTGGCTGTAAATCGGGGGCAAAATACTGTATCAAAGCAACCTTAACTGGCTGCAGGTAAGTGAGACAAGCAGGGGGAGGAGGGAGCCCCGGGCTGAGCTGTCCGTGGCAAATTGGAGAGCTACTGCCAGATAAAGGTGGAGCGGCTACTTCACACCATCTGATGATTTGTTACTATGTCAGAATGGGGCTTAGTGATGGCAGATCTTGCCAACTCTTGAAAGAAGGCCAAAATCTGGATTGCAATTCTGGAATGGTAGCTTGAAGAATAAGTTTCCAATCACTGTGCACCTTGAAGTAAATGAAGGGTGGAAATACAGAATCAGCTGTCTGCTTCCATCTCTTGGGGCCTAGCTAGCTGGATGGCATTTTTGTTCCTATTCACTTAGGGTGGGTAAGTAAGTAAGTAAAAGTAAGTAAGTAAATAAATAAATAAATAAATGCAATGAATGTGCATGATTTTATTTCTAAGATCACTGAGTCCCTTAGCACATGGAGGTGCCCTGTTACCATGAAGAGAGCTACAAGATGAGAAACTGGGATTGAACAATTTCTGTTCCAATGTTCTGTGATTTTAACGGTCTCACAGATGGGCATCAGAGACTGAAGGAGAAAGTGCTCAACTCCGCTGATATGACGGTGCTGGAAATGTAGGTCCACTTCTTCCGCCATGTCCCAGGAGTTTTTATTATGTAATGCAAACTGTGTTTTGCATCAGCCGTGTACTTCCAGCCTTTCAATCAGAAGAGGGCACTTGCCTGAGGGATGCAGGGCTCAGTGCATCAAGGCACAGAGGTTTAGAAGGCCACAGGGGTGGTCCAGGTGCCTTCTGAGAGGATGTCAGCTCTCTATACTAAAGCCGGTTTACTGGGGGGCAACACAGAGAAGCAGCACTGGGGAAACAAAACACCCAAACAGGCAACTTTTGTGAAGTAGTGGAAAGGGCTTTTCCACGGGAACCGGAAAACTTGAGTGTCAGCCACACTTGGCCGTTAAACCAGCTCTGTGGTCCAGGCGGGCCAGGAGAATAGGGGTCTCAAACTCAGGCACAGCAAGGCCTGGTAGGTCATCCCATGAAGGAATCGTGCCACAGGGCCTGCGGCAAACCCAGGAGAGCCCAGCCCAGCCGATGGGAAAGTCTAGTCATTTCTAGGCAATTGCTGCTATCTGGGAAGGCTGGTCTGAGGTTGCCAGAGCTTCTGCAGTTTTATTCGAATTCTTCCAAGTGTTAAGTGTTGCCTCCAAATTTCAAATATGCTTCACAGCCTAAACAAAACACAGCCTGCAGGCTGCCAGCTCTCAACTTTGGCATCAGATCCCTCCGAGAATCTACTTGCTCAGCTGCGTATGGTTAGGGCCACCGACCGATGAAATCTCTGCAACCCTCCCAACTGGGCATCAAGCCACCCCCTCCCCTATCTCAGGACGGAGCTTCTAAGGTGGAGGGAAGGGCTGAGGGGAGCATATCCCTTGCTTTGTTTCTCAGAAGAGGCAGAAGGCTTCTCAGCCAAGGCAGTGGGGGCCTCCTGACCCTACAGGAGAGAGCATCCTTGGGCTCTCCTCTTCATGGGCTTCATGGGAAGTGGCTACTCTCCTGGAGGATGTTGCCCTCACCTGACAAACACAGGCTTTCACTGTTTGTTTTGATTTTGTTCACAGCTAAAAGAACATTCAGTGCCTTTCAAGGGCTGGGAAGAGGCCATAGATACCCACACACAACCCAAAACCAGTTTTTCCATAAGATATGCTCATTCATTACTGGAAAACTAGAAGATACAGATAAACAAAGAAGATAAAAACAAAAATCCCACCTCTTGGAGATAAGCACTGCTAACATTTGGCAAAGAAAAATATTTCTTAAAGTAGATCTCCCAGAAGAACTTGTGCTATACCATAGTCTCTCAAAGTCAGTGACCCAGTACTTTGGTGGGCAGTTGGGTCAAGTTCTCTTGGAAATGCTTCTGAGAATCTACCCTGAGAGCACCTCATTTGTAGGTCAAAATTTCTACGTTCCTCTCTTTTTTCATAAGCTATTTTCATTAAGGGCAAGGAACTATGCAAAGCTCTTTCCTGGCAGTATCTCATTTCACCCTTTCGACAAGTCTATGAGGTGGATTCTAATATTTCCTCCATTGTACTACAGGCTTGCAGTGTAAGATAAGCAACTCACCCAAGATCACCTAGCTAGTTAAGCGGTGGGGCCAGGACTGGGACCCCAAGGTCTTTCTGATGCTAGAGTCCTAGTTCTTAGTCCCTTTTTCTTTCTTTCTTTCTTCTTTTATTTAATTTATTTTAAACTTATTTATTTTTTTGGCTGCATTGGGTCTTTGTTGCTGTGCGGGCATTTTCTAGTTGGGGTGAGTGGGGGGGCTACATTTTGCTGTGGTGCACAGGCTTCTCATTGCGGTGGCTTCTCTTGTTGCGGTGGCTTCTCTTGTTACTAGGCATGCGGGCTTCAGTAGTTGCAGCGCACAGGCTTAGTTGCTCTGTGGCATGTGGGATCTTCCTGGAACAGGGATCGAACCCATGTCCCCTGCATTGGCAGGCAGATTCTTAACCACTGCACCACCAGGGAAGTCCCAGTCCCTTTTTAAAAAACCACCTTGTCCATTAAAAAAAAAAAAAACCTTTTTATTTTGAAATAATTTCTGACTTACAGAAAAGCTGTGAAAACTGCAGACTTCCTGCATATTCCTGACCCAGTTTCTCCAATGTTAACCTCTTACATAAGTTACCTAAAGTAGGAAACTAACATTGGTACAATTTTATGAACCAAATGACAGACCTTATTCAAATTTCACCATTTTTTTTTTTCCATTTTAGGGTTCAATCCAGAATCCCACATTGCACTGAGCTGTCATGTCTCCTTAGCCTTTTCCAATCTCTAACAGATTTCAGTATCTCTTTGTCTTTTATGATCTGGATGCTTTTGAAAAGCATTGTTCTTTTTTTTTTTTTTTTTTGGGCCTGTCACTGTTGTGGCCTCTCCCGTCACGAAGCACAGGCTCTGGACGCGCAGGCTCAGCGGCCATGGCTCACGGGCCTAGCCGCTCCGCGGCATGTGGGATCTTCCCAGACTGGGGCACAAACCTGTGTCCCCTGCATCGGCAGGCAGACTCTCAACCACTGCGCCACCAGGGAAGCCCGGCAGGCAGATTCTTATGCACTGCGTCACCAAGGAAGCCCGCATTGTTCACTTTTGAATGCCATGTGATTTGGGTTTATCTGATATATTCTCATGATTAGATTGAGAGTATGCATTTTGCATTATGCATACATATCAGGGGATACATGAATATACCTTATTTCTGGTGATATTAACCTTTCATGCTTGGTTAAGATGGTGTCTGCTATGAATGGATAAAGAAGAGGTGGCACATATATACAATGGAATATTACTCAGCCATAAAAAGAAACGAAACTGAGTTATTTGTAGTGAGGTGGATGGACCTTGAGTCTGTCATACAGAGTGAAGTAAGTCAGAAAGAGAAAAACAAATACCGTATGCTAACACATATATATGGAATCGAAAAAAAAAAGAAAAAAGATTCTGAAGAACCTAGGGGCAGAAGAGGAATAAAGACACAGACGTAGAGAGTGGACTTAAGGACACGGGGAGGGGGAGGGGTAAGCTGGGACGAAGTGAGAGAGTGGCATGGACATATATACACTACCAAATGTAAAATAGATAGCTAGTGGGAAGCAGCCGCATAGCATAGGGAGATCAGCTCGGTGCTTTGTGACCACCTAGAGGAGTGGGATAGGGAGGGTGGGAGGGAGACGCAAGAGGGAGGGGATATA